CAGGGAGCCCGATGCAGGGCTCGATCCCAGGACCCTGGGATCATGACCTGAGCCGAAGGCAGACGCTTAATGACTGAGCCACCCAGGCGCCCCCCTTGTCTTTTTGATGATAGCCATGGTAGGCTATATGTTTCTAGGATTTTATCCATGTCTTCCAGGTTATTCAATTTGTTGGCATGTAATTGTGTGAGGTGATATCTCATTGTGGTTTTGATTTGCATTTCCCTGATACTACTGATGTTGAGTATCTCTTCATGTACCTGTTCTGTTGGACATATGCATGTCTTCTTTGGAAAACTGTCTATTCAGGTCCTCTGCCCATTTTTTTAAATTGAATTTTTTTTTTTGCTATTGAGTTGTATGAGTTCTTTATATATTTAATTATAATGTGTCTCAGTGTAGCCCCTTTCAGGTTCAACCTATTTGAGCCTCATGGATCTGGATGTCCATTTCTCTCTCCAGGTTTGGAAAGTTTTCAACCATTATTGCTTTAAATATATTCTTTTGTTTCTTTTTCTTTCTCTTCTTCTGGAATTCTCATAATTTGGACATTATTTCGTTTCATTATGTCCAATCAGTTCTGTAGGCTTTATCATTCTTTTTTCTTTTTGTGCCTCTGACTGGATAATTTCAAATGTCCTGTCTTTTAAGTGATTGATTCTTTATTCTGCATGGTCAAGTGTGCTTTTGAAGCTCTCCATTGAATTCTTCAGTTCAGTCATTGTATTTTTCAGTTCAGGATTTCTATTTGGGTTTTTTTGATGGTTTCTTTTTCCTTGCTGAACTTCTTGTTCTGTTCATCCATTATTTTCCCAATTTTGTTTAGTTGTCTGTGTGTTCTTAGAGCTCACTAAATTTCTTCAAGAGAATTATTCTGAGTTCTTTATTTGACATTCATCAATCCCCATTTATTTAGGGTCAGTTATTGGGGCTCTGTTCATTTTCTTTGGTGGTGTCATGTTTACCTCATTTTTCATGATCCTTGATTCCTTACACTGGTATCTGCTCATTTGAGTAAGCGGTCACCTCTTCCAGATTTTACAGGTTCGCTGTGGCAGAGACAATTCCTTATCAGTCTGCTTAGTTTGGATTTCTGGACATGTCAGCTAGCAATCCTTGAGCAGGTGGGGCTTGCTGTCAGGATCTACTTTGGGGTGAGGCCACTGCCCAAGCTCTGAGGTTGGAGGTGGGGTATACTGGCTGAGAACAGTTGGACAGGACTGCTGACTTGGTTCTCTCCCCAAGCAAGGTTGTAGGATGGGCTATGTGGTTGCCTAGATTCTCTGGTCTGGCTTCCTAGATGGCTGGGACTGGGTACTATACTCAGTAACAGGTAAGGCTATGAATTAGCTTCCCTGTCCTGGTGGGGCAGTGGAGTGAGACCCAAGGCCCTCATGGCTCATTGTTTGGGGACCTAAATCAAGCAAGGCTGTGCCCTGAATTCTTTGGCCAGATGAAGCCACTGCTTTGCAGACAGGGAGCAGAGCTGCTAGATGGGCCATGCAGCTTCTCGTGTACTCTGGTTAGGTTTCTGGTCAGGTGGGCTAAAAGCTGTGTTCAGCAATGGGTGAAGTTACAAATTAGTTTCTCTGCCAGGGTGGAACAGGAGAACTGGCTCCAAGGCCAGAAAGGCTCTCTCTTTGTGGTCTTAACTCAAGCCAACCTGTACACCAAGTTTCCTTTCTGAATGGGTCCCCTGGCTTTGCTCTGTGGATAATCATCTCTGCTTGCTTTATTTTCCACTCAGTCGTTGTTGGTGGCCAGAGCTGGTGGTGTATATACATTTGGCTATGGGTCCTTTCTCATTTGTGAAAAAATATTTATATATTCAGATATAAATTCCCTGCATGTCACAGATGTTAAAAATATTTTCCCATTTTATGACTGTACTTAATTTAAAATAATTTATGCATCAGATCTATCACTTTTTTATTCCTGCCTAATTTCTATAAAAGTTTATTTTCCCTAATGTTGAAATGCCCAAGTATAGTCAATGTAGAAAATTTTCTTCTTTAGAATAAATTCGAGATCAGTTAAATTGGTTCTTATAGACATAAATGTAATCATGTAATCCTATTTTAATTTTAAAGTTAATTTAACCCTAAAACAGACATCATTATTTTCCTTTTCTTGTGTAAGGCATATTTCCCTAATTGATTTCAGTTAGGGAATAACTTCCTTATATTTACTGCTACAGAAACAATTTATTACTTTCTACTACCCATGTCCTTCTCAAAGAAAAGTTCAAACCTCTCTCACTCCCTTAATCTTTGATCATATTTACTTACTCGGAATTTAAAGGGTAACAAAATGGTTGGTAAAATAAATGAAAACGTAGTATAAAAGTCTTTTACAAGGTCTAAGATATCTGCTATCCAAGGGAACGGTTCCTTGAACTACATCATACAAACTATTCAAAGCACACTCATGATCATGACACTTGTACTTTAGCTATTTAAACATATACCTGGGTGTCCGTGAAGAGAAAGACCATATTCCTGTCATCTACACCAGCCAGTTTGTACAGCTTCCTCAGGTCTTCGTGAAAACTGTCATAATTATATCCCCGGCTCAGTTCAATTTGCAAACATTTGTAACCACATATGTGAGCTGCAAGTCTTGTAAGAGACTGCTTTCCTGTGCCTCCTACTCCAACAAGCAGGGCGTTGCCTCTTTCCTGACGGATCATGCGGGCAATCCTGCAGGCAGCAAAGTAGAGAAAGACTTTGTATTTCTTTTCTTTTCTTTCTTTTTTTTTTTAAAAAGATTTTATTTATTTATTAGAGAGAGAGAGAGAACGAGCAGGAGGGAGGGGTAGAGGGAGAGGGAGAAGCAGACTCCTCGCTGAGCAGGGAATCTGATGCGGGACTTGATCCTAGCACCCTGGGATCATGACCTGAGCTGAAGGCAGACCCTTAAGCGACTGAGCCACCCAGGCGCCCTGCTTTTGTGTTTCAATGGCAGAATTGAGTAGTTGTGACAGGGACCATATGACCTGCAGAGTCTAAAATATTTATTACCTGGCCCTTTATAAAAGAAGTTTGTTGGCTCCTTTCCTAGGATCTTTTGCCAACTCCTCCCCTACAGTAAGCAAACAGATGATTTAGGCACCATTTCCACTGTTACGTCTCTAACAGAGTGGCACATCTAACAGAAGGCACAACAGATCATTGTTTATTTCTCTTCAGTCACCCAGGTAGGTATAAAATTGAGAGGTAAAGGGATATGTAATAATGTTTTGCTATTGTTTTCCATAATGTGCACATGTTCGACAGTAGATGAAATATTGACTATTATAAAAATCTTGCATTTTATATGTTACTCTTTCCTTGTTTCATGTATAGTACAGTAATTTGATTATTTTCATCTTAGATTATTGGAAACAAATAACTTGTCCATTCTGTTTCCAGTGTTCTTCTTCCTGTCAACTTACATATCCAGAGATAGAAAACCCCCTTCATTAGAAATCCTCCAAGGTTACATTTTCTCTACTGTAGTAGATAAGAGAAGGCTGTCCTCATTAGTGGCTTACATTTTCATAGAGATCTGTTTTACCATCCTTGAAGTGTGGTGACAACTTTGGGCATATGTAATAGGTGGAAACAGCCTGGAGCAAATTGCCCTTTGAAAACACAGGCTCCAAAGTAAAAACAATTTTTTTTTTTCTGAGTTGAGAAGGCTTTATAACACTTATCCTATGCAAAAAAAAAAAAAAAGTCTAAAATGTCACCAACAAATGGAAACGTAGTATCTGCTAAATTACTGAATATTTAGTAATTGTCCCATAATTCATGTTCATAATGAAGCCCTTTCTATTGCTACTCAGCAGCAGGTATTTGAAAACTCTTACAAGCAGAAATTTGTTTACTCTAATTCCTAACTACTGATCCTCTTTAGAAAAAGATGTCTACATCGTTATTCACATGGCAGCCCTTTGTGTATCTGAAAACTAAATCTCCTCCATTCTACAAATGGCTTTTAATTTCCTCCTGTAATATTTTAAGCAATCCTTGAGTAGTCTGGTGATTTTCTTTCACAAAAGTCAGAAAGATTATAAATAAAATTAAGTTGACTTTGCCTATCATCTGGTCTATTCTCCAGGAAGTTTCTCAGACAGAGTACTGCCATTATTTTTTCTTTGCAGGCTCAGGGCCTATGTGAGCTATAGGATAAACGTTGTTAGGAGGTAGTGTGTGGGTATGTCGGCAGGGGGATAGATGAGAAGCAAGTGGTATCTCGACAACCCAGTGACAAACTATTGTATAACACTGGAGTTGTGACCAAAATAAATTCTCAAATTAGAGTTAATTAAACAGAAGTAGAGGAAAGGTAAAAGACTTGATTGCTTATGGTTTATAGAAAAAAAAATCCTAGGATTTAACAGTCAAAATTAACACGATGCAATACTAAAATGTAGTTGACAAGGGAAAAAAACCAGTCATTAAAATCTTGCTATGGTAGCAGACCATGGGAGATCCTGTCCTCACACACACTTCACACTGCGGATTCCAGAGAATACCGTATCAAGTCTGGGTGTCACATTTTAAGTGGAACGTGGAGAAATTATCAAGCGCTCAGTATGTTGAGGCTGGAAATAATCCCTAACAGGCAATAGTGGAAGATCTGGGTTATATCTGCCCAGAGAATACAACGCTAAGAGGAACCTAATCACAATTTTCAAATATTTGGAGGGCTGTAATGAAAAAACTGGATCCATTTTGGGTGGAGGCACCTGCAGCCAAGTTAGGGTCAAAGGGCTGGATGCGATCCTCTGCCTATGACTCACTAGCTTGCGCACTTTGGACAATTCACCGGATCTCTCTGTGGTACACAGTATTGTCCAAAAATGGCTGCAGTACTATTTCTGGTCCTACTGGCTCTTTGATCCTGTCAAGAGATAGAGTCTCTGACCCCTTCTTGTGGACGGGGTGGGCATGTGCCACTCCGCTGACTAACAGAGTTATGGTAGAAGGGATGCTATGTGACTTCCTAGGTTAAGTCGTGAGAGGCCATTTGGCTTCTACTGTCACTCTCGGGGCACAAGCTTGGGAGCCCGGAGCCACGGGAGAAGCCCAGACACCCTGATGCCGCCGCGTAAGAGACACAGGCAGTACGCACAGAGGCAGAGGTGTGCCAGGCCCTCCAGCTGCTGTCTGACTTGAACTGCATTGAGACCCCAAGACAGAACCACTGGGAACCATGAGATCATGAACTAATGAAGCCACCAAGGGTTGCAGGGGCTGATTATGACCACTGGAATATTCTCTGAGTCTTATTAGTAGAGAGATTAGGATATTGAGCCGCAGAGAGGCGTTATCACAGTTAAAGGAGATACTCCGTATCATGGTTTTATATTCATGCCGTTATTGTCACTGCTTCACAGGATGGGACAGATACCAGATGTCACAGGGAGCAGATTTGGCATCATCCTTGAAGCGTCATTTCAATACTTGGAATTGTCCAACAGTACACAGATGCACTTTAAAAAGTGGTGCATCCTGGGACGCCTGGGTGGCTCAGATGGTTGGGTGTCTGGCTTTGGCTTGGGTCGTGATCCCAGGATCCTGAGATCGAGCCCCGCGTTGGGCTCCCTGCTCAGTGGGGAGCCTGCTTCTCCCTCTGCCTGCCGCTCCCCCTGCTTGTGCTCTCTCTCTGTCTCTCTGACAAATAAATAAAATATTAAAAAAAATAAAAAAAGTGGTGCATCCTATGATTTCCCTCATATGTGGAATTAAAGAGACAAAACAAAAGAACAAAGAAAAAAAAGGACACCAAAAAACAGACTCTTAAATATTGAGAACAAACTGATGGTTACCAGAGGGGGGGATGGGTGAAATAGGTGAAGGGGATTCAGAGTGCACTTGTCATGATGAGCATTGAATACTGTGCAGAAGTGTTGAATCACTGTATTGTACATTTGAAACTAATACAACATTGTATGTCAATTATACTGGAATTAAAATTTGGAAAAAAAAGTGGTGTATGCCCCAAGGACTGCAGATATTCAGGCTGGATACCTATTTGTCAGGGATATCTCTCAAAGGAAACTTTGGGGGGTGAGAGTCAGACTCATAAGCAGATGGAATCTACAATCTTTGGATTTCACTCATTTTGCTATAATCTTGAAACCCATCTTTCTTTAGGCATGCATGTAATCAGCCTTGTCATACTGTACATGTATCTCTGTAAACTACCTTAGATCCTTTTTTGTAATGAGACAGGGCATTTAAAACAAACAAAAACAACCTATTAATATTTAGCAAAAATAACCCCTGGGACTCCATAGAAAGTTCATGCCACTTATATTTAAAATATATAAGGAGGGGCACCTGGGTGGCTCAGTCAGTTAAGCGTCCGACTCTTGATTTTGGCTCAGGTCATGATCTCAGGGTCCTGAGCTCAAGCCCTGCATTGGGCTCCGAACTGGGTGTGGAGCCTGCTTCAGATTCTCTCTCTTCCTCTCCCTCTGCCCCTCCCCACCCCTGCTCTCCTCTCTTTTCCCCTTTCTAAAATAAATAAATAATAATAAATAAATAAATATATATATATAATAACTTTTACATTATAGCAAGATTTGCTAATAGGCCTTTGTTCATCTAGAAATCTAAAGACTTTTGTATGACTTAATTCTTACCTTTTAATACACAAGAAATTAGATTAATGCATTATTGGGCACCTTATAGTACATACCTTGAAACATGTTCTATAGCATCCTGGAAGAACACCAACTTTACTTCTTTGGGATTTGTAAGGTTATAATCATCAAGATAGTCCTCTAGAACATTTGCGATTTTCTCCATATCGGGCATGTCATCATAAATCCGGTCAATCTTATCTGCTCCAAACTATAAGATGATTTATGGGAGAGGGACCACGTTAGATCAATTATGACACAGAAATATACACAACATTCATAACCTTAGGAGGGAACATTATTTTATCCATGTTACTATGTAATCATTTGCATGCATATTTTATTTGTTTGTATATATATTTGCATATATATATATATGCGCAAGGCTTTCAACCCAAGGAAATGGGACTAAGAAACTCAGATTTTCATAGTAACTGAAAATCCATTTCATTTAACTTCAAACAGTACATTGGAATTTCAATGATCTTTGCTATAAAATTCATACAGCAGCTCAGAAATAGGTTTCCAGTTTTTCTTGCTATACCTAACTTTGGGTTTGTACTTTTGCTCTCAGGCTGTTGACATCAGAGAAGCTAAATGGGCTGAAAATGATGCATGCCAGACTGTTATGGTCATAAACAATCATGCCAGAACTACATGTAGTTTTTACACAGCAGTCATCTGATTAAATAAATCATGGAGAATGAAATTTGGGGTGAACTAGAAGGAATTGAGTTCCTGTTTGATGTCTTGTGTGGACCTGTGGATGTGGTCTTTTCTTTGCTGGGGCAACTGCCCTGGGGGCATTTTCATTTGGAGCCAGTGACTAAAATAATGCAAGAAGGGTCCAACTGTTGTTTTCCCTTTGCTTTATTCTCCCATTTGATGATTGTATCAGTAGAAACACATGGGAAATATAATCACCACCTGGAAACAAACTTTGGACTTTGTTTTTAATAATACATTTAAATAGGTATATTGCATGTAAATAAATTATTTATCTTTTTTATTTGATAGGGATTACCAGGGTGATGAGGTAATTGCATACATACAATATAAACACAAGTTCGTGCTTTTGTTTAACCAGCACTGATTGAGAGCCTGCTCTATACCTAGCTCTGTGCGGGAAGCTGGGGATTTAGGGTGAACAGAACAGACACAGCCCCTGCCCTCTTGGAGACACTAGGAATGTTGTACCCAAACAAAAGTCAACTTGGTAAAACGAGATGGTTACCTATCAACATAGGTAGGATGGTTAGAAGAAGACTTATTCAAGGCGGTTCTAGAAGGCAAAATTAGGGCTGGTGGGTACACGTTATTGGGGGTACAAACTGAGGAGCATAATGTCAGAAAAATTTTGCTACTGATGAGAGCTACCCTGAAATGAGGAGGGCAGCATGGTTACCTACTGAGCTGCTGGAAGTGTGTGAGCACAGGCTGAACAGCTACACAGAATACAGTAAGCGGGGGAATGCCAGTCCTGAGTTAAGAAACTAACCCTCCCTGTTTCCTTCCAAATCAAAAACTTGATGGGTCTCTGATTCAAACTATTACCAAAATGAATGTGACTAGATCAGGAGTCAGCAGTCTGTTTCTCTAAAGGGCCAGATAATAAGTACTTTAGGCTTTGCAGGTCATATTGCCTCTGTTGCTACCTCCCCACTGTGTCTTGTCATGTGAGAACAGCCATGTAAAAGAACAGCACACAGTCAGGTGGGTGTGGCTGTGTGTCCATAGAACTTTATTTACAAAAATGGGCAATGGGTAGATTTGGCCTATGGGCCATAGCTTGCTGACCCCTGGTCTAGATCTTTAATCTTCACAGATGCAAAGTTCTTGTTGAATATGAAATTGAACTGTAAAATAGTAAGTGCTTTATTTATCTTCAAATATAGGCAAGTCAGTTCAAGATACTCACCTTAATAAAGTCTCCAAAGATGATGGGTCTATTTAAAAAATATTCCAGGCCAATTGCAATTCCAAAATGTTTATCTATTCAAAACACAAAATCAATTTGTGATATATGATAAGCTTGAATGCAGTGTTTCAATAAGATATACAGAATAATATCAGCTGTTACTTTACTTAGAGGGCTTAACTAGTAAATGAAAGTTGAGAGAAAGACATGTTGATACCACACCATTTTAGTTTGGTTGATAATCTCCTGGATTTAAGATTAAGAATGTTTAATATTAATAAAAATTTTATTAAATAATAGATATTAAATATATATTTAATAAATAAGAGGTACTTTAGAGATATCTTGGCTTCTTACCAGACAAAACACTGGTTCTCTTTCTTTCCCTTTTCTACTTAAAATTGCATACTGAATTTAAAATATTAATTCTTCCTGAATTTTAATAAAATGATTTTCCTAATATTTCACATATTTCTACATATTTGAGTCACTGAAGAGAAAAACTTTTACCCATGAATGACTAAAACTCATTTTGCTTTACCTTATCTAAGCTCATTTTAATTTTTCTTTATAGAAATCAAATTGCTTTTCTAGGCCCCCCACCAAAGAAAGAAAAAGAACAGGTACATAACGATTGATATTTACTGGCCATTTCTGTCAAAATAGTATGGAAATAGTGTTTATCTTCATTATTAATCAAACGGTCATGGAAAACTCTTTGGCATTCATGGCAAAAGAGTCTAAATATCTGTATTTCTTCTCTTATTGTTCCTGGATCACACTGGAGGATACCTGTTTTTGAAGAAAGAGGAAAAAGGAAACTTCTACATTTGTGAAATAAATAGTAACAGTTTAATTAACTAGAAAATCCTGCTGAAATCCAGCTTTATCCCCACACTACCAGAGGTGGGTGCTTCCCTAGTGGGTATACACACATAGAATAATGGTGATCTCTCCACAGTTTGGCTATTGCGGACATTGCTGCTATGAACATTGGGGTGCAAATGGCCCTTCTTTTCACTACATCTGTGTCTTTGGGGTAAATACCCAGGACTGCAATTGCTGGGTCATAGGGTAGCTCTATTTTTAAATTTTTGAG